TACAAGCCCTAAACCTACTCACTATTTCCCCTCCTGTCAAGATGTCGTGCCCTGTCTTGGCTCCGCCCTCGTGCCAGGGCGCGCGAAGTCTTTGATAGAGCTCCCAGCTCCGAAGTCTCGTGTTATGACTGTGAGTAGTGTTACTATGCGTATTATCAGGGATTGGTGTGCTTATTGGTATTATGGTTATTACCATTGTTGCAAGTATTATCAGTATGCGTATTAATATCACGATAAGTATTAGTTGTAGTATTGCTGATATTAACTAATGTGATCCAGCGATTGCGAAGATCTTGCTGCAGCAGCTGGTAGGGTAGGGTTTAGGGTTTAGGGTTTAGTTGTTTGAAGCTGGGTCAATGCAGTAGGCGAATGCAATATGAAGCAAGCTATGTTAGAATGGTCTTGCTGCTAGATGCTAGGCACTTTTGACACCGGGTCAACCCACTGACAGACCTGGAATCTCAGCAACAAAGCCAAGCAAAGAGTTCGCTCTTGGCCAAGGAGCATGCTATTTCGGCATGCGAGTACTGCAATCTTGTATAAAGCAACGATGCATGTAGCATTCGTCCTCGACCGGCATCACATATATCCTCTACTTGGCGCAGCTGCAGCTTTCGACGTTCCCGTCACCCCAAAACAGTTAGGTAGCATCTGGAAACATGTCTGGGAGCAAGAAGAATGTCTCAAAGGGTGCCAGACTTTCCGCACTTTTGCGTGCACCCGCTGCAACAGCCCAGACCTTCCAATATCCCTGAATTGAGGAATATACCTTATAAACTATAGTAGGAACCGTAATGTGATTTAAGGTAGATTCCTTTTTTGACGGATTTTTAAGGGATATTGGAAGATGTGGGCACTGCAAGAGTAGCTGTTCTCAGTACCACTGCGTGAGCCTGGGGCCCGGGGACGCAGCTCTCGCCCTCTGGCGTTTTGCGCGGAAACCGGGCCCTGCTTCATGTTTGCCACCTGACGGTTATGTTACTTGTGATATCTATATATATATATATATAATAGTATAGATATAGATATAGACAAACAATATGTAAGTGCCTGTATACTAGAACCAACATCTTTTTTCTAGGCTCACATCGACTTACGGTACTGACCGCATCTGAAAATTCGGGAGGCAGTTCGGGGTCAGCATTTTTGAATGCTGCTGCCCCTCTCCTTTGTGGCACAAGCTTGAGCTGTATAATGCTCCTTCAGTGAGAACTCCAGTTGAAAATGCAGGACAAATCAGGATGTTGTCGGCTTTTTTATGTCACCGCGTCAAGATGTAATGCTTCAGGCTTGGCAGGTTGTTCGGTGCAGGTGGTAGGGGGTAGAGGTGCAACGCCCTTGATATATTTATTTCCGATTGTCAGGCATCGGGGGTTTTGTAAGGCAGCGGTGAAAAAACTTATGAACAATTCGGACAATCAGACTCCCACCAGCTTTCTTCTCCGTGGTGCGGATTCGCTACAGGGTCTGTGCATGCTCCGAGTTTGCAAACCCACAACCCTAAACTACAAACCCTAAACCCTAACCTCTAGACCCTAAAGTGGCTCTAAAGCCTCAACCTAAACCTTTTAAGGACCTACACAGATTGGCACTTTTGCTCTGACGGCTTGTGCCCGAGCCCCTGTCTGGGGACTTCCCCGTGGGTGTTTTTTACAATGCGGTACAGCGGGAGCCTTAGGTAAGTGAGGTTCCGAACTCTCTGCTGCGTCCTCCTGTGCTTTGAGCTGATGTTCAATCCTTCTCGGAAGAAGTTCTGGCAGAACCGACGCCGAAGAGGCCCAAGACGGACGTTTAGGGTTTTCGGTGCTGGTTTTGGGTTTAGGCAGTTTAGGGTGCCTGCATACATGCCCTTCTTCGCGGTGGCGTCAGCTTTGTACAGTTCTGCTCGATTCTGCCGAAAGTGAAAGCGAACATCAAAGGGCGCGATGCGTGCCATGAGCGCGTCCATACTTTATCAATTGCGAGTAATCGTAAAATCGTAAAATTTGAAGAGGCTGGAGAGGGATGGTGGGTACCCTCGCCTGCTGTCTGTGGCGCAGGGGTTGCCGAACATGTCTTCTCAGGCAGCTCCTTCTCAACGCTGGCAGCACGAGGGTTGAATTACTCAGCCTCCCCCCCCCTTCTCAAAGGGCGCTGTCGCGAGGGACTAGCACAGAACCCCAAAGCCTAATATAGGGGTCGGATTCTTAATATTATTCCTGATTGTTCCTTCTTCTTCGTATACTACATCTTATCTGCACTCTGTTTCCGATCTCGGCAGGCTCCTTATTACCTCCCGCCTGAATTTTAGGGTTTAGGCTTTAGGGGGTCTAGGGCTGAATTCCGAATCGTAGGCCACCTAATCTTCGAATACCAGGCTTTCTTCGCTTTGGGCTAAGGCAGCCAGATTCATGTGGCCGTCGTTTTGGGAGTTGCGGATTCTTAAAGCCCAGAAGAGGTCAACATCCACAACTTGCCAGCTCTCAAGCAAAGCACTGAACCAGTTTGCTCTCCAACTCGTAGGCTAAGCCCCGATCTCTCCTGGACTTTATTTTTATCTACATCCTCGAGCTAGCTTAGATCGGCCTTGCTGTGTGCATTACTACATGGCTTATGGAAGTTCCTCGCGGCTCGACATGCGAGATCCTCTTCTCTGTTCGCTCACGCGGAAGATGGGCTCTGAGACTCATGTTTTTTGTATATATCTTTCACATAATATACATATATGTATATGTGTATGAACATGTACATACAGCTATACTTATGTGTATATATATATACATATATATATATATATATACACACTAGATGTATGTATACATGTTGAGGTGTAACGCTGGATGGTTGTGGTTGGTTTTGGGCTTGTGGAACGGTGCTTCAAGTTAGAATAGGGTTAGGACTTGAGGACTGATTGGGGCGGTTAGGGTTCTTTCATGGCCAGGGATGAGAAGAGTCAGTCCGCTACTTCCTCCTGCTCTGCATCAGTGTAACAGGGCTTGCTGCAATATCCTGGGGTACCACAGCGAGTTGGGATGTCCCGACCATGCCCAATATCACCGCAGATAGCGCTGTCAGAACTGTAGTCCCAGTTCTTATGGTGGTAACTAATTGTATAGTCTGTTAGTGCATGTGTGCTGGCTTTTGTCTGATGAACCCGAAGCCACTCAAATCCTAAACCACCTCAGTCGTGATACCCATGTTCACAGACATACTTGGATTGTGTAGTTCCCGCTTCAGGCCGAAGATACGCATGGGAGGAACAGAAAGAATGGAGCGAATAACAGAATATGAACAATAGCAAGCACAAGTACTCATAATAGACGGCAACAGGTTTACGTCAAGTAATTTCAACATCATAACGGCAAGGAGTGGTGCCTCACCCTAAACCCTAAACCCTAAACCCTAAACCCTGAACCCTGAACCCTAAACCCTAAACCCAAACATAAGAGCCCATCCGTTGTGTCGACGATGGAGGTCGCGTCGGAATTCGTAGGAGCTGGGCATTTCATGCCTGCTAACCTCCCAGCCGAAAGCGAATCCGAGCCCCCAAAGCGGCATGTAATACGACTGACAAAGTAGGAGGGTTTTTTAGGATTTCTATGGAGGTTCTTCTAGAGTATATATAAGGAGCTGGACTGGTCGGGGGTTTACAAGGGTTTGGAATGTTTGTGTTTTGTCTCGGGAGCTAAGAGGGTCTGAGGACTTGCTATTGATGATATCTCCCTTTTTTGTGTCCCTTTACATTTGTACTATATAGTGTGCCCCAAAACCCTTTTCGAGTTGTTGAGGTTTCTAATTGTGCTATAAGCATGAGTGTAGGGTTTTGGGATTAATTAGGGGCCTTGGGCTTTTGGTTGACTCATAGCTGTACAGCCTTAGTTTAGGGCCGTTTAGGGGTTTGGGGTTTAGGGCTTTGCTGGTGGTCTACATTGCTCTTGGATTGCTCTAGGCTAGAAGGGTCAATTACTGTCGGAATCCGGTTTGGGTACGTGGGACACTGTTTCAACTGAAGGATTATTGAAGCGCAGTGGCTGCTGCAAATCTCTCTGACCATGACCTTTACATGTGTTCAGCTATCGGATTTAACATTCGGGCTTCATGGTTGATATAAGATGGGGGTCGGATTTTTCAAACATTCAGTAATTAGATATCCCACTGCATTGTTATATTTATTCAAGAAAACCACAACACTGATTTTAATTATTAGAACACTATAGCACGACCCTGAACTCGACGAAACTTGGCTCGCCTTACTGCTTCGGCATCGACCAGTGCACAAGCGCGACGCTTCTGGCTGTGTGGCGAAGTTTGATACCAGCCGAAAAGTGAATTTCGAGCATTAGTCGTGCGCTGACTTCATAGACTCTACTTTGGACCCTAAATCCGAAGCCCGAACCCGAGAACCTAAACGCAAGCTGTGTAAACTATCCCTCTGGCAACCTTAATCCCGAAGTTCAATTTTCAGATGCCCGAGAACATAAACCCTAAGCCCCAAAGCCGAAAAAACCTAGACTCCAAGCTCAATGGCTACTAAAACACGTCAGAACCCCAAACCCCAAACCCGTAAACACCAAAAACTTAAACTTTCAGTGTTCAACCTAATGTCTGCCAAAAACCACGAGAGCTTTGCCGTATCTCCCACCCAGCCCCTAACTCTGAATCCCGACGCCCTTGTGAAACCTCTAAGGAGCAACCTTCTAGGGTTTAGGTGTGGGTTTAGGGTTTATATAAATGGGGATTTACGGTTTGAAGACACCAAAAGCCCGATACAAACAAGGCCAATCCGAAACTGTGAACCCAAAAGAAACCCTGAAGCCCTGATGCACGCACTTAGGTATGCATCCGCCTATGGCGCGGCAAAGGCCGTTTTGAAGTCGACAGTTTGCCCTTCGAGGGCTTAGGGTTCAGGGCCGGGTGAGGGCTGGAGGGTAGTTATGGTGCTTTAGTTTGGGGTGCTGCCTAGGATTCGACATCCTTGATGTTTGGAGTTCCGTGACAAGGGCCACTTGTTTTCTGACGAGGCCGACCTAGTGGAATCCCTGGTGAACGAGATGTTTACCGAGATCCCGATCGCCAGGGCCCCATCAATTGGGAGCTCTGAGTTCGGATATCTGGCCGAGGGTGGAACCCGCAGCAGACGTAGAAAGGGAGGAATTCTGTGCATTTTTGCCAGGATCTACAAGAACTCCCTCCCTGAAGCCCGAAACATTCGCACACCCGGAGCAACAAGTCCCAAAATCGTAATTAAGCAGTTATGGTGCATTTCTTCAGTATTTGGGGCTGCAACCTTCGACATGGCAGCCTCACTCCGTAGCCTTCAACCCTAAGCCCTGAAAGCCCTTCTCTGAGTCCAGACAAGATGCCAACGCCTGGTCATTCGTTAGTTAGACCCTCGATAAACGACTAATATAGGGGCCTGAATAATTACCTATAGTATTTTGGTGGTTCCTGAGTATAGTTACAGTATAATGGGCCCCAAACCCTGTTCTAATTATTAAGGCCCCTACATTAAATTCATCCCAAACACGGGCTCCCCTCGACTCGAGGTAGTCACCGCCTCGCCGCTGGCAGAGTGCTTCCTGCTGGCAGCTCGGCACCACGGAAGAAACCCCCACAGCCTCGGCCCAGAGCCCGAGCTTCGAAGATCCTGCGCCCGGGAACCGGGTAGGGATCCCGTTAAGGGTTTCGGGGACTTGAATAAGTAAAGCTATATTTAGGTACATGATTTGGGGATTGTAAGTATAGTCGGTATGCTTGCCCGACTACTTAGCCCCCGGATCTCTCTAGCAGGGTTTCAGGGTTCAGGCCTTTGGCTGCTTCCCGCATGCCTTTGTGGTGGATTGGCACGGGAACCCTAAGGTTGAAAGGACTCCTGTTTTAAGGCTCTTGGGCCCAAAGACCATACTGCACGAGGCTTTTAGGATTTTGTTGAGCCTTAGGGGAAAATGCAAGGACTGGTCCATCACCAACCCGCTGGCGACGACTTCACAGGTCGAGACGCTGGATGTGGAGAACCAGGCTCGCCCTTGTAGTGTTCGATCTGAACTATGGCTCGGCAAGACAAAACTATGGCTTAAGATTTGTAGCCGTACTGAACTAAAAGGTAGGTCTCTACACGAATCTACACAGCCGCCAACAGGTGGAATAAGTTCCTGAGCTTAATATTAACAAGTCAACTACTTGGTCCATGGTGCTCCGTAGGCCTGATATGGCTGTAGCAGTTGGAGATTTCCTTTTTAAGTTTGAGGCATGGCTTCTATGTCTCCTGCAGTGTGTTTTGATCTACAGGCTTCTGGAGAGATTCGGGGCAATGGCCTGTTTCTCAGATTTGGGAGTCTACGGATGGATCAGAGAGTGTTGTTCGAAGCGGATGTCAAATTTCATATCAGCTTTCATACCTGTCATAGGACAGGGTTGCGATCTGTGAAAGGCGAGGGAGACCTCAGGCCTCAAAAAGGACACATGGGGTCGTTGCATGAAGGTTGGGAATTTGGGAACGCCTGACATGTTTTGGCCCTAAACAGGCCTTCTTCGAGAAGAACGTGCAGCTTCTTAGCTCCTCCTTGGCTAACTTGGCGGAGGACCTTCAAGGGACCTTCGGGGGTGCGCGGTGAGTTGAGGGGCTGGGCATGCTTGCTCCAATGGCGTTTGTTTGTTGCGGCTATAACCATTGACGCCTAGACTGTTAACAAAAAATGTTGGGTACACGGTACACATGATGGACACACCTGTCTGCCTCCCAGCGCTGGTCGAAATCAGGACCATCGCTGCAACCGCACATTCAACAAGACGCAAGTGGTTTGCACTACCAAGACCCATGTCAGTATTGATTTTCAGCCTCGCATTGATGTAGCATGTGTGGAAAGCTAGCTTTGGTGAGGAGCAGACCAAGATGGCACCTTGTCATGCACGCCAAGGTTATGCGCAGACTAAGTGCTGCCCAGAGGGGTATGCCCATTCAGATGTATCGGAGCTGCTTCAAGAAGGTTAAGTAGCAGGAAGCTGCGCAAATGCATAGCCGAGCGCAATGTGCCATGTGAGCCCTTGATTTGTAGTTTGATGTCCCAAAAAAGATGCAGTGGCATTAAACGAGGCCATGTACGAGAGGAATGCCGGTCGAAAGGGCGATGACAAGGCCGCTGGAGGGAGAGATGGGCAATGCTAGCTAGACGAGCTTTCCCCGTGTGAAGTGCACACGTAGTTGATTAACAGTGGCTGGGACTCCTGTCGTTAGGCACTGACCTTGCAGCAAGTTTTCAGTGAGACTTGCTTGTAGACCCAGATGCGGCATGTTGAAGGTGGACACATTTCGGGCTCAAAGGCGTCAGTACACGGCTTTTACGCAGAAACGGTTGCCCGGAGTTTGATTCCGATGAGTTCCACTCCGGGGGGTAATGTTTAGACTGATCACTGATTTGGTTAGAGGCTGTCAGGTTGCTGCAAGTTTGCCATCGCGAGAAGATTGCAAACTGCTGCTATTGCTGGCATAACGACCTAACAAAGCCCACCATGAGAAAGTCTTGGCCATCCGTGTCAGCATTGGTGACGCGAGCACCCCAAGCTGCAATGCAATGCATGTTGGAAAAGAGTTTTATCAACAAGACAACTTGTCGAACTACCTCGAGTTTTGGAGTAGCCAGTCCTGACATTCCCAGCGGCAGAGTAAGTTGCTTGAACACGCGCTCCGAGTTCGGGATCACGGGCGTTTGCCGTGAATCAGGGCTCTACCATCCGGGTGACACGCTGACGGCAGTGCAGGAGGAGAACAAACAACTGCGCTCCTTTCTGCAGACGCTTTCGTGGCCCAGGTTGACGGGTTTCGAAGCACATGGAAAACTGTTTCAGTTGCCGGTATCCTCAAAGGAATCGTCTCCTTCAGAGTTTATGCAGCCTCAGAGACTTAGTTATCTCGCTGGCTTCTTCGACGGAGACGGCTGCGTTACTTCTTACGGAAACTTGTCTGGATGTACCCTCAAAGTGGACCAGTCTTTCGTCCAGCCCGAAATCCTACTACTCTTTCGCGACACGTTTGGTGGCAGCATTTTGCGGGGCCGTGATGGAACAGGCCTGATAAGGCCAACGTTTTCATGGCAAGTATGCGGCAACATGGCTCGTCGCGCAGCACACCTTCTTTCCCCGCACAGCATCATCAAGAAGAGGCAGCTTTTGCTGGCTGCCACATGGCCAGATGAGCAGGCAGACAGACAGACGGCCACCGTCGAGCTGCGGTCATTGAAGCAACATGACTCTGCCGTGGTTGGGTCCTGTAGCTGGGAATACTTCACAGGCTTCTTTGATGCGGACGGGCATGTAGGGCAAAAGGGTCGCGCCTCACTTTGCCTCCAGTTGAGTCAAAAGCATTCCACCGTCCTTCACTGTTTGCAGGGCTTCCTTCAGAGCGAGTGCGGGGTGGATGCGCCGATACTATCTCACCGCGAGGAGTACATGCTGAAAATCTCCGGCACATCGACCTGTAAGTTGCTTTTGCACGAGATGTTACAGGCTGGGTTGATCTGCAAGGCCAAGCAGGCAGAAACTGCAATCCGGCTGACTCTTGAGAATTGTGATGACACCCGTGCTGCACTTGCGGCGATGGTCGGCAACCAACGCTTTGGTCAGAGGTTAGACAAAGCTGGTGTCGAGCGAGCTTTCAAGATCCGAGATCTGCAGAGAAGGGTTCGATGCCTGATGCGGCGAGGAGAGGTTCAAGAAGCAGAGGCGAAGCTGAAGAAGGCCGCCGACATGAAGGAAGCGCATCAACTGCTCAATGCACAGCAGGAGAACCGGGAGCTGCTGCAGTATATAAACTGGGTACAAGGATTGCAGGGAAATCTCTGGCAGGTTACCGACAGAGGTACGTGTGAATCTCGCGAAAAGGGAGTGCGCTTGCTTTTCTCGGACTTGCATTACTGTGTGTTGCAAGCAGTCTGCCCAAGAGAGGGTGCCCACAACTGACGGCGGCCTAGGCACAAGCCCCCACTGCCTGGCAGCTCTGTTCGGAAAGGTAGCCTCGGGTGCCCTGCGGGCTGTTTACTTTTCAGCGATCAAACCGCATGCATGTCCTGTGTTGACCCTTTCGTAATAAACGTCGTAGTAAACGTGTTTAATGTCCTGGGCTCTAGGCAGCGACTCGATTCCGAAGCCCCTATAAACTTCGGGGGTGTTGAAACGAACTGCGATTCCTCGCAGCTCTACTGTCAGTGCAACTATGATGTTGCATTCGCCGTGCCGGCGCGCTAGAGCGAACCACAGCTCTCGTCCGAATAAACGACTAGCCCAAGGCCACCAGCCTCAAGCCCTTACACCCACCTCATTATCTGCTTCCTGCGCCAGGGCAAGGGCAAGGGCTACCGAACTCAGCAGCCGCAGCCCTTGGACACCATGGTCCTTAGCAAGCAGATTCAGAACTACTGCAAGGCCCTCCGGGTTTAGGGTTCAGGGTTTCAGGATACGGGGGTTGTAGCTTCTCAGTGGGTTGCTTGGAGGTTTGTGTTTGCGGGGCTTGTGAGTTCCAGGGTACTCAAACACCTATAGGAATCTGTTGCAGTCTCTTCACCGAAAGGCCAGACCTTCACTACAGTGAGCTGCTTGAGATCACTGCTGAGATCACTGCGGCTCATGTGCTTGTTGCGCTTGCCAGGCCATCAACAACTACGCAGGAGATGCCTTCAGCAAGGCTCCGCTTGGCTGTAGGAGCCTTTTGTTGAAGCTTCCTTGTTCGAATTTCAGTGTATATATAGGTTTTAGGGCTTATAGGGTTTAGGGGGTTTTGGGGTTTAGGGTTTAGGAGTTTAGGGTTTATAGGGTAGTAGCTACAGGGTTCTTATAGTCCTAGTCCCGCGATGATGCTGAGCACCAGCATGTTTTGTTTTGCCATCCCCACCTCACACTGAACATGGAGAAGTGTCTTTTGATACTGGGCACCCCAACGGCCCGAAATCCCTAAACCGTAAATCCCAAACCCAAAAAGCCCCAGACCCAAAACCCAAAGCTCAAAGAGATATAACACCCCTGGGCCCGGAATGCCACAGCCAGGTCTACCTCGTCTCCAACAAGCCGAAAGCGGCGAGTTGAGTCGTGTCGAATCTGCCCCCGGTAAACCCCGCCAGAACGGCTCCAGAAGCCCTCGTCGTGTCTCTCACAGTTCCCAAAGCTGGGATCTTGACAAGCCATAGACACCAACAAACAGATAGTTAGAGTCCTAACCCAGAAGAATCATAGGATCTTCGAAGATCCCTGAAACCCGAGCCGACGACCGACACTTAATGCGTCCGTGGCCGAGCGAGGACGACAGGGCCACCTGCATCCCTGTGCTAAGCTCCTCGTTTCGCTTCGTAGTTTCGCTGGCACGCTGGGAGAGCTCAGAGTAGGCGAGGATAGAGCTTCTTAGCAGCTGAGTGGATACACTTTACACTTTTTGTGATAATATAACCCACTGTAAAGCTGAAAGTGTACACTTTTTGGGGCTTATGGACTCAGCAACTAAGGCTTCAGAGCATTTCGGGTCGTTTGGGGTATGTTGAGGCTTTCGGGTCTTAGATTGAAGTCGGGGGGAGTCCTGGGTCGGATGCGAGGACTCATCAATGCCAAGGGAATGCTGCTGAAGCCCGATCTACAGTCACCGAAATACTAGGTTACTGGGTTACCTACCATATGGTTCGTATCCCACTATTTAGGTAACTGGAGCCGCATAGGTTACTGTTTAGCCATACCTTAAGAACCCAAAACCCACTTTGTTGTAGGTTCTTAATATAAACCCTAATATGGGATTTATAGGGACCCTAAAAAAAGTAGGTTTTGGGTTCTTAAGGTACCTTTCCACCCAGCGTGCCATGGGGATGTCTTGGAGTGCCACGGCCACGTCGCCTGGGCCTTCCGCGCGAAAAGAAGCTCTGAACCCCGGCTTTGGGGGAATGACCCGCGTTGACGCAGGGCTTTTGGGGTATAGGTCAACCCATATATATATATATATAGAGAGAGAGAGAGATATATATATATATATATATCATAAACTTATGAGCCCCCGAACTCCAAAGCCAAACGCGGACCTGAAACATTCATGCCCTGAAGCAAGCAAAAGCCCCGACGAACCTCTCTTGGAAGCTGCAAGGTCTCCGGTCCCTTGCGGTCCCTAGCGTTCAGACTTCAACTCTTAAAACCAAGAAGATTAGGTAGTATTACTAGGGGTACCCCTTAAAGGGTACCCCTGCTGAACCCTACTTTTGGCTCTCTTAAAAGGAACCTTATTGAGAGGGTCTATATCCCCAAGGGTCCCCCTAATCCCTGCTCCCATCCCTTGCGGTCGCTCGCCTTCGGACTTCAACTCTTAACACTTAAGAAGATGTACAGCGCCTACCAGGAGCGAAGAGAAGCTCTCTTCAGGCTGCCACCTTGCAGATGGTTTCTGCTATATATCAATAAGTATGAAGGTTATTCATGGTACTTTTGCATGGTTAGATCTACCAAGACGAAGGGTTTAGAAGTTTTGTTCGAAGGGTTGGGGCTTCGGGCTGTAGGCTGTAGGTTCTTTTAGGATTGCAGGTTTTAGTATGGGACAGAAGCTTTGCCGAAGGTTTTGCAGCGAGCAGCCGCTGCACCCGCTGATCATAAACCTCCAATCTCAGGGACTAGGTCGCAAACTCTGTTTTGAATTTAAAACAGAGCCGTCGCACATAGTCGGGGTTTCAGGGTCTTTTTGGTTGGATTAGACGGTCGCTGTGAGCGAGGACGGGCTTTAAGCTTTCAGTATGAGCCGATTCGGCTTCGGCGAAGCTATTATCCCTGCGGTAGAAGCCTGATTAAGTGTGCAGCATTGCGGCGGGCGTCTTAGCTGCACTATGAAGGATTTCACGTTTTGCCCAAAGCTGCCCGAATAATTACCAATGTTAATTTTTGGGGGTTCCTCATCATAATTATAGCAATCATAATAAACCATATATAGTATATATAGTACTTACAATATACCTTATAGTAATTTCGAACAACCCGCTACTGAACCGTCCTGCTGCCAGCCTCATCGATTCGGACGGAGACGGCAATGTCTCCGAGTCTGAGTTCAAGGCGAGCCTCAGGATTCAGGGACCAAGAAATTTCAGAGGTTCGCGGTTCAGAGTTTACTAGCTAGGCAATAGCAGCCTACTTGTAGGATCATGGGTCGTAAGTACGGTTTAGGGTTTAGGGTTTTAGGGTTTAGGGGTTTACTTGGAGGATCATGGGACTTAGTAAGTAAGGTTATAAGTACCCTACTTGGGGTTATAATTATAGTTACCTTCTTTATAACCCTAGTTACTAAGTCCCATGATCCTTTAAGTTGTAGGGTTCCTAGATCCTCCATCTACCCTCTATTAGACCCTAAGTACCCGACCCTATACCCCATACCCCTATTTGAGGGCACTTGGAGGGTCCCGGTACGGTTCAGGGCTTGGGTTCTGGGTTGTTTTCATGGCGGGACCTGGATGTTTGTACAACGAAGGCGCGCTTTGTCTCCCATGTTTGTCGACATGTTTCTCAGTCCCCGATCGCATGCACCAGATCCTATCCACAGGGCCTCAGGGCATACTTGTTCACGCCTCGCGGGACCTGCAGGACATCTTCAAGCAGAAGTTCATCTGCGTGACGGGCATCTCCATCACGGATGTCCTTCAGGCGTTTAAGGGAGTTTGGCCCTAGATTCGAATCACTCATCCGGAGATCCTAAACCCTTAAACTGGAAACCCTAAAGGATTGACAAATTAAATGATCGCCAAAGCTTAAACAAAGCCCCAGCCGTCTCATGCTGGCCAGGTGTCGAACAGCAAAACCACCGGCAAAATTGAGCCGGAGGAGGCGGGCTTTCAGAACCGCGGGTTTATGGTTTAGGGCCTATAGGGTTAACGACCCTTAAGACAGGGCTACTGGGCTAGGTGGTTCTGTGGCCCTTGAGGGCCTAAACCCTAAACCCTAAACTTGAGGGTTCAGGGTACAAGAGTTCCCGCTGTTCTCGAAGGTCCTCGAAGCCCTCGGCCCGGTGACCAAAGATGAGGCGACCGGCATGGAGCGAGTGGAGGCCGGGCTGTTTAGGAGGGTTAAGGGGTTTAGGGGTTTAGGGGTTTGGGGTTTAGGTTTTTAGGGGTTTAGGGTTCACAGGATTACATGATGTGGAGTTTAAGAGTTCAGGTTTTCTGAGGGTCGGGTTTTAGATGTGCTCTTAAGGTGTGTGTTTTTAAGGAGATTGGGAGTTACACTGTTTTTGAAGGATGGTTTTCATGGGCTTACTGACGAGACGAGGTTTTGCGCGGGTTTAAGGTTTGGGTTCTGGATGAGGTTTCAAGGCTTGACATAAGACCTTTACAAGGGCAATTTGGCCCTTGGTAGGCTCTTGATCCCAAACCCTCGTAAACCTCAATCCAGCGAGGTAGCCTTATGGAAATCCGAAAAGACCTGGGTGTCTTGCAGAATCTAATCTCCAGGTAAAAAAAATCTCTAAACCCGATTTGTTAAACCCTCAACCCCACGCACTTAGGTACACCCCATAAGCCCCCAAATCGAGATCGTAGAGAAGTAGTGGATCTCGGTCTCGGCTGCCCCTCTTCAGAGATACCTTAAAGGCCTCGGAGGGTAGGGAGACGCTGAGTCCAGGTGAAAGCTGCGGGCTCCGGCAAGCAAGGCACGACCCCGTGATCTGCAGGAAAGGGGGTTTAGGGTTTAGGGTTTAAGGTTTAGGGTTTAGGGTTTAGGGTTTAGGGCGGTGGTCGGAGGTTTTTCTGGACAGTATTGGGCTTGTTTAGGGGTTTGTGGGGTTCTGTGGGTTCTATTTTAGGGTTTGTCTAGGGATTTGTAGGGCTCGTGGGGTGTCAGAGCCAAAACCTCGAACGCCTGGAAGCAGTTGTGCTGGACTTTTCCAGGCATGATGTTTAAGGCACTGCCCGCGATCTCTGTCAGCAGCCCTACGCAGTGAGCTTGTCGGCACGCCGTCCGAAATACCATGAAGCCTGACCCCAGAATCAACACCGAACCCAAAACCGCCAGCCCCAGAGCCCTAAACCGTCGTAGCCCCAGGCCCTTGAAAAAAAGCCCGTGCATCGGCCGGCTTTTACTTTAGGAGCCACGTGTTCCGAGCTTAAGCTGCCTTACGAGTTTCCAGAGGGTTCAAGGATGGATTTACTACCATCCCTTGAGGGCTCCTGGTTACAACCATACCGTAGCATGACCTAGTCAAGTTGATAAGGCACCTGTATTAACGATGAGATATGTAGAAGCATAAGGCAAATGTTATCCGAAACTTATCTGCCGACCTACACTCACCCGCAGCTCGAAGATGGGAGCTTCAGAGACTAGCAAGAAAACCTTCGCAGAATCCCAAACCGTATTCTGTCGCTTCCGGCTGTGGTAACACCTGTTGTGTGTTTCTTGACGGAAAGTTCTGCACGTTGGTGATTGGCTGAGCAGTGTCCAGTCTCCGCAGCCAGGCTTCGTGACCCTGAAGGGCAATCAGGGCACCACCTACCTCCAGGCAGGGCTTAAGTGGTGGAACTGTAGAAGTCAGAAGTGATGTGGAGTATGGGTATGTTAGAGTCTGAACATCCCTCCATGGGCCTTGCTTCTCGATTCGCAGAGTAGAAAGAACGACGTTTGACATGAGACTCAGTTGGGTTCCAGGGTGCAAAATTGCCATCTGGCCCGCAGATTCATGTCCCGACACAGCTTGACAGGAGTTCTCGCCTTTCACAGACTTCTGCACCGCCATGGACAAGAAGATCGAGGACCAGCCGTGCCGATTTAGGTCGGCCAAGAACGGTAACAACCAGCGGACCATGTCGACGATGGTGATGATGGTAGAAAAGAGAAATGCCCTAAACCCTATAAGCCCTAAACCCTAAACCCAGCACCCTAAACCCTTGACAAATAGCCTCCACATCCTGAACCCGAAGGCCCAAATCCCAAGCGCGGAATTCAACCGAACTCGCCTCTGCTACCTCCTAAGCACGAGGAGCGCCTGGCAAAGGTCAAGTCAGTGACAAGGCAGGGTCTCCTTAAACCCTAAACGTTAAAACCCGGATAAGGATTGTAGGGTTCCTAGACCCTCCACCTACCCTCTATTAGACCCTAAATGCCCTTAATTTGGGACCATATACCCCTATTTGAGGGTACTTGGAGGGTCCTGGTTTAGGATGCGACGCAGAGCAATGAAACTCCTGGGTAGGTCATGAGCGTGCTCTTGTAGGGTCCTACAGGGCTTCACTTCCCCCAAGACCCGGACGCCTCTGCGTGAATTTAAGACTTGGGGGCTAGAACGACTGAAATGGTGGGGTTTGGCCATGTGGATCTTCTGTGGATTTGCTCAGGGTTTTATGACGGTTGGCATAGACTGTCATGCTTTTCGTGCATCAGGTGTAAAGAAGTGTGAAACTTCGGGGGGTTCCGCATGCGTTTACTGCGAGGTTCTTGGTTTACGACTTCGACCTTGCGGCTTCAGTCAAAAGCATCTGCCAGACCTCTGCAATATGCTAGCCAACCTAGTTTCAAGTCTGAAGAAATCCCAGCAACGCACCAGTCGTCGCCAGTTTCTTCACGCAGAAAGTGAATGAGCTGGCACCGCACAGCAGTGGCCCGCTGTCAGAGGCCGCACCGATTGGTAGTACTGGTATAGTGGCTAGTAGTAGCAGTAGCAGTGGGAGTGGGCGTAGGAGTAGTAGTAGTAGTAGTAGTAGAAGTAGTAGCCGTAGTAGTAGTCGTCGGTCGTCGTCGTCGTAGTAGTAGTAGTAGCCGAATCCTTAAATACTGCACATGATTTGCAATATGTGATGAATCTAACTCTTGCTGCCTCAATTTTGAGAAGAGTCCCCTTGCACAATATACGAGCTTTGCCGGCGACTGCCAGTATTAGCGGCCATCGCACCTGTGTTTTGGATAACAAACCGGGATGATCAGGGCCTGAATCCGCGGCCACGTTCAGCCGTATGGCAACCCTAACCCCTAAACCCCGAACCCGAACCCCCCCACCCACACTAAACCCTTATATTGCTCCTAGTCTTCTCACCCCTAAACCCTAAACTCTCGCACCCTTAGAACCGTAGCCCACCCAGCCTCAGGCTCTGAGGCTTTCTTGGAGGATCATAGGACTTAGTAACTAGTGTTATAAATAAGGTAACTATAATTATAACCCCAATTAGGGTACTTATAACCTTACTTACTAAGTCCCATGATCCTCCAAGTAGTCTCATTTCCAACAGGCACGGGTTCTTTTTAGGAAAGCACCGTTGGCCTCAAGTTGCTGTGGGAAGGACTCCCGAAGGCTACGGTTATTTTTATTTTGGTACATGGGCCCCGTGGGTGATGGATCCCGTACACTCCAGAAAATCTGACGAGGATGCTAAACTCGACCCTAAACCCTGAGGTATAGATATCAAGTACCACACTGTGCATCGCGTTTTTCTGCGGCTTAGGAATGGCGCTCCAGATTCGTCCTATAATATGTGTCTACCCTAATCCAGGCGCGAAGCCCCAAATGACAACTTCTGCTTCGAAGCTAAAAATGCAACACTTGACATCCTGTGCTTTCAACACCGCGAGGCAAGGAAAAGCAAGGGTCCCAAATTGCTAACGGTGCCCTCGTGGCTAAGTAGGTAAGCGTTTAGCCTATTAGCTATTAAGGACCCCCCCCCCCCCTTTAAGTAACCCTGTTCTAGTTATTGTTAACACCCTTCCCGTTCCTTGGCGCGTCGCCAGGCGAAGGCAGAGCTGATGAAGTTGCGGCCCAAGGCCCCGGGAAGTCGTCAAACAAGGTGTTGCGTGGTCTACTTGAAGGACCATGGGACTTAGTAACTAGAGTTATAAATAAGGTAACTGTAGCTACAATCCCAATTAGGGTACTTATAACTGTACTTACTAAGTCCCATGATCTTTCAAGTGCAGCAGATGTTATAGCAGGACATGCAACGAGAACGGTGTGGCTTGATTGCTTGACGCAACAGCTTTTTAACTTGGTTCCATCTGTACTGTGACTCTGCATAGTTATCATCGCGGGCATATCAGAGTACAATCTCTTCAATCGCCCTATGGTCATTGTGTTCAGTGCAGCATTCTAGGCACTCAGGCTAATGGAGCAGTGTCCCAAGCCAAGTGGCTCGATTCACATCAGTGGGAAGCCCGTGGCCCTGGCGAGGCGTCGCAGCAGGCTACTGAGATTCAGAAGATCAAGAACAAGGCACGTTCCTTAGACCCACATGTGGTATATTTAGTTGCTCAATGGGTCTGGAAGGGTATACGGGAGTTTATTAATTTGCCATAAGCCCTCATGTGCCCAGAGACCTCCAAAACCCTAAGCCCTAAACCCTAAACCTCCCTTTGATTAAGGCTCGCGCCGCTAGGAAAACCGTTCGGAGCACATGCAAGCTATCCGTGAACAGAACAATAATGATACTGATAGTAGTAGCAGTAGTAGTAGTAGTAGTAGTAGTAGTAGTAATGGTTTAGGGTTTACGGTCTAAGGGTTTAGGGTCTAGGGCTTAGGGTTTAGGGATGCTTGAACGCTGCCACAAAGCCTTCCTGTAAACCCACCTATGGCATGCTTTAGCAGGAACCTTCATCAATTAGTAAATTCAGCTTCCTACCGAAACCGCAAAGCCTAAAACCTTACCATCAAGCCAAAACCACCAAAGCAATCTCTACCCTGAATCACCCCTTTGAAGCCCGGGATCCTTTCACCCTAAACCCTAAACCCGAAACCGTAAACCCTAAACCCTGAACGGAAGGTGGGCGCCGCGAAGAAGGACTTCTTCAAAGCCGAAGAGGCCGAGAGGACGGCTCACCTCGAGGCCCCGATGTGCAGGGTTTAGGATGGTGTAGGGGTTTAGGGTTTAGGAATTAGGGGTTTAGGGGTTTTAGAGTTTAGGGGTTTAAGGGTTTTGGGGCTTCAGGGGTTTAGAGTTTAGAGTTTTGGGGGGGAGTTGGGGGTTGGGGGGGAACAGGTGTTTAGGGGTGCTAGGAGGTTGCTGCGGTTTACAGTATATAGGGCTCTGAAGAAGTCTTCGTGCTTTATAGGGTTCCCCTTTATAAGGGTCTTGGTGTTAAGGGTTGAGGGTTGAAGAGTTTCTCTGAAGGTTGTCTAGGTCTAGGACATTTTCAGGTGGGTAGTTACCGTTATAGGAGCCTTGTAGAAGGTCCATGTACCTTATAGAAGCCTTAAAGAAGCCCTATATACCCTGAACTCCCCACCTGCAGTTTCCTCTAACTGGAAGGTAAAGAAGGGCTCTTTGACTTTGGGGCCTTGCTCAAAGGCTTCTTGTACGTAGCGCGGTTGCTATGGAGGTGGTATTGATTTTTGTTTTGGGGCGGATAGGATTTTGGGGCAAAGGGTTCTAGGATGTTCTACAGTGTTGGTGTTCGGGGCGTGGGGATTCCAAGTTCAAGGATTCAGGGCTTGGTAAGGGTTTAGGACTTTGGGCGGGGGTTTGGGGATAAAGAATCAGATCAGGTGATGGTACCTGCATCTGTTGGTCATTGGCTTTTGATGAGATGTTGTTGTGGCTGCTGCTGTTTCGTCTTTGGGTGAAGGGAACCCGGGCTACAATGGTGCGTGCGATCAGCTGCTCTATGCTTTTTGATTTTTGGCTCGTTAAGCGCCCAGAGGTTTCCCTTTATGTGGTTCATTGATGATGACCCTGATGATGCTGCTGTCGATGATGATGACGATGTTTTAGCTGTGGACTGCTCCTATTGTTAGTTCAGTAGCTACTTAGGTGCTGTTGTTGAGGGTTTGTTTATTGGGGGACGGCGAATATCGGGTCCTAAAATTTTCGAGCTCCTAATTCTACTTATAATATTATATAATATATACTCAAACCGTTTATTAAGACCCTCATACGAAATCCTACTAGCAACCCTTAGAGAACCCTTTAAAGGAACCCTTACAAGGACCCCTGTAAAGGAACCCTATTCTGCGGGGTTACACGGTTTTGGAGGGTTTAGGGTTTAGGGTTTAGGGTTTAGGGTTTAGGGTTTAGCCCTGATCCCTACCAGAGTAGTAGGTTTCTGACCCCTAAAGTAGAGGGTACAACCCCGACAGCAGTAGGCTTTTGGATCTCCCATGTAGACTCCGGACCCTTTTAGGGGTTTAGGGCTTAGGGTTTAGGGTTTCTGTTTAGGGTTTAGGGTTTTGGTCTTTGGTGGTCTTAGGAATGAGGTTTTACTTATACTATACTTAAGCTCCCACTCTATGGACTTGGTCAGCAGTCAAAGAGAGCGCCGGCAACGAAACAGTCACAAGGGCTTGGATTTTCAATGTGATCATCATCTGCACAGTGGAAGTACCTTCAACCGAACACATCTTTACGGTTTGGGGTGTCCGGTGCCATGGCGCATATGGTTACACCAGCAAAGCATCTATAGCCGCAATGCTCACCGCACTCTGTGCCTCGAGCTTCTGAGCACCTTGAGCCGTATTTCTGCAAACTCCCAACCAATTTTTGCTGAACCTGAAGCTCCAAATCTTTAAACAAAACTAGGGCTTTAGGGCGTTAGGGTTTTAGGGTTCAGGGTAAACAACTCTACCCATAGGCCCCACAGTAGTTCCTTCTTGGGATTACCTTATAGGATTCTAAATATGAACCCCGAAAAGGAACTACTATGGGGCCTATGGGTTGGGTACTGCCCCCACTCAGTAACAGTTGGATAATATTTATATTATGGATATAGTAATCCCTCAAAAGTAGCCCTATTACAGACTGTTACTGTATAGGGGCAGTACCCAAGCTATGGGAAGCTCCGAAACTGCTTGGAAAGCCCAAAAAGCCACACGTTTTGGGGGCAGGCCAAAGAGCGAAGAGAAGCCGAGGTGGGGGTGCTGGGTCTAAAGGTGCCCATGTGCACCTAGGGTTGAGGGTTTAGGGTTTAGGGTTTAGGGCCCTTGGGGTTAAGAGTTTAGGGTTATTTAGGGCCCTTTGCTTGCTGATTTTCTGCACTCCGTCGGTATTCAACAGGGCACATCTTAACCCCACACCCAACCCCGCATGAACTCTGAAACTCCAACACCTTAAACCCTTAAACCATGAACCCTCGGTTTAGGGTTTAGGGTCCCTAAACCCTAAACCCTAAACCATGCAGAACTAAACCTTAGACGGACAAACCCTGCACAAAAGCCCTAAACCCTGACCTAAGTATGAACAGCCCTGCAAGTCCCCAGTTTAGAAGCCCGCAACATTGAAGTAATCCTAAACCCCGAAACGCAACCGAGGCCCTAAGCCCTGAAATTTTCTCATGGCCCTGGACGCAATCTCCCCCCAAACCAGTCCTTGACTTCAGGAAGCCTTTGATCAAGCTCTAAACAAAAAGCCTTGAATCAGAAACTATAAGTCAAACCCGAGATCAAAAGCAGCTGTTCAAGAAACCTTTAAAAACCAAGCCCGAAACCGAAGGCTTAATTTACACCTCAAGCCAACAACAGTCCTAGACTTTGAACCCTAAAACCCATTGTCCTTAGAAACCCGAAATGTCCCTGGCCATCAGCTTCCGGTGGAGGCCCTCCTTGCTGAAGCCAACAAAACGTTGGAAGCAGCCGAGGCTATCTTTGTCCGGTTATCTTTGTCCGGTTTAGGGTTTCGGGTTTAGGGTTTAGAGGATCTTTTTGCTCTTTTTCGGGTTCCCCTTCAACGGATTGTTTGTGTTTTGACAGTTTTTGGGTAAAACCTTACATTTAACATGGTGGGCTTGTGGGTCTTGAATTTAGGGTGCAGCTTTTTGGCTTCTGAAAATAGGGTGTGTGTGTGTGTGCCTGTAGGGCTTCTGTTTGCAAGACGGAGCCGTTTTGCTTCTTGAAGAGGGGCTTCACATGGATGGCTTTAATCTAGGGCTGGCAGGTTCTAGGGTGCCTGGGGTTCGCGGAGGGTGGTTTTCCTTGTGCTCCTATAGCGTGGACCTTCTATCTGAAGTAGTATCTTTCCGGTATTCATCTACACACCGTGTGTGCGCGCATAGACGTAAAAAACTCTTGTTTTGTAATATCGTACGCACATGCTTATTCTTAAAATGGCTCCTCATCACGAAAGACATGAAAAGATACAAGTCTGAACATATCGTAAGATAGGACACACACTTCACAGCCATGTGATGAAACATGATATCTTTGCCTTGTAGGGTTTAGTTGGAGTTTCGAGATTCATATTGAGTCTCCGCCATACATCCCACACTCGAAGAGACAAAGCCCGAAACTAAACTCTTCACCCTAGGCCCAGGCCCTAAACCCTGTACCCTAAACCCTAGACCTTAAAACAAAAACCCTATACCCCACACCCTGAAGCCTTCCGACGCAGCGCAAGAAGGCCGAGGGTGCAAAAGCCACCACCACCTCAGAGGCCCTAGTCGCCGCACAGGCCGCGGGGTTTTGGTCGCAGGGGCACAGGTAAGCTTCAAAATCCTTGGGTGTATATACCCCGGGTACTGGCCCCCTACTCTGTGGCAGTTGCATTACATTTTCAGCTTAATTATCTGTAGCATTGAATATGACCCACCAGTGTAGACTCTTACAAGGTGGGGGCAGTACCCAATATATACGCTAAACCCTAAACCCTGGGCATTCATCGATCGGCTCACTTGAGATGCGTTTTGAATGCTGGCCTGCACCAAAATGTTTTTTTAACGCCCCTCGTCTGCTTCTTCTGAGCAGGCCAGGTTGTACCGAGGTGCCATATTCGTGTTTGTGTGTGTGTGTGTGTTTATGTGTTTATGTATGTGTGTGTGGGGGAGGGTGGGTGTGGAGCAGGCTCGAAGTGCATGTCTAGAGAGCCCAATACCCCTTAATTAAGGAATCATAATATTAAGGCCCCTATAATTTGAGGTATAGTCCTCATTTCTGGGGTATTGGGCTCTCTTGGCTTGGTGTTATTGTCTTCAAAACGGCTTTCAGCACTGGGAAGGCCGGAGGTGGAGCTCTTTGGGTTCTTCTTGGGCTGCATGCTTCTCTGGGCTTCAGGGTGTAGGCAAGGGATTTAGGCTTCAGATTTTCGGTTTTCAGGTGCAGGGGTGGTTCGGCTTGACCAAGAAGATGATCAACCATAGCCTATGACAGCAACCATTCGAAGTATGATTTCTACATCCATGACTCAGCGGAGGATGTAGAGCTGACCCCTGAAACCACCAATCCTAAAACAAGAACCCGAACGATATTGACGGGCAATATCCGTACACGCTGGACACTGAATCCCAGACCCTGACACTAATGATAGTAGTAGCCCTGCCAAACCCTAAACCCCGAAACCTTAACGCTAATTACTAAAGAGCTAGTGATGGTCGAAGCCCTATAAGCCCTTGTCCCAAACCTTAGCAGCAATGGCATATAGCATGTAGATGTATATAGTAGCCCTAAGTGCTACACTTCAAACCTCAACCCTGAGCCCTAAACCCCAAACCTCAGCAACAGTGATAGTATACAGTAGCCCTAAGTCCTACACTTTTAGCCTCGACCCTGATCCCTAAACCCCAAACCTTGACAACAACGATAGTGGTATTTCACACTATGTTGGGTTCCTTGTCACAGTTATAGTATAATTTACCCCGAATCCCTGTTCTAATTATTAAGGCCCCTACAGCCATTAAATAGCTTCAACCAGACGTCGCAGGGCGAAGAGTTGATGAAGTTTGCCACGCCTGCGACAGTAGCAGAGGAGCGACGGCTACCGAAGTTCCCTCTTCAGGGACGACCCTAAACCCTAGACCCTCAACTCTAAGCCCTAAGCCCGAAGCCCTCAACCCTAAGCCTTAAACCCTAAGCCCTCAATCCTAAGCCCTAAACCCCTAAGCCCTAAAGCCTAAACCCTATCCCATTTTAAAAAAAACCCTATCCCAATAACACCTACCATCTTTAAAGGACCTAGCAAGAAGGGGCCCTACGGAGGTAGGGTGGTTGTGGGTTCAGGAAGGGGTTGGGATCAGGGTGGAGGATTCGGGTTGCAGGTTTAGGGTTTCGTGGTTATATAGGTTTGAGGCAACTTATGGGTTTACAAGAGGGACCTTAAAAATTACATCCATTTTTTGGGGGGCTCCTTATTTTAATTATGGTATAATGGGCCCCCTAAACCCTATTCTAATTACTAAGGCAAACCCCTACAGTAGACCTTATAGAACCCTTTAAGGAACCCTTTAAAAAGGAACCCGAAAAGCCCTACTCTAATTTTTAAGGCCCCCACAATTAGGGTGTCGGGTTCAGGCTTTCGGGTTCAGGATTTAAGGCTTTAGGGGTTCCAGGCCTCAGAGGCGCTGGCGGTGTGAGGCTAAGGGTTTAGCATTTGAGGATGGTTTAGGGTTCACGGATTAGGTGTAGGGTTTAGGGTGTAGGGTTTGGGGATTACGGTGTAGGGTTTAAGGTTCAGGGTTTAGGGTTTAAGGTGTAGGGTTTAAGATTTAGGGTTTCGGGTTTAAGGTGTAGGGTTTAAGGTTTAGGGTTTAGGGTGTAGGTGTAGGGCGGGGTTTATGCATCTCATGAACTCAGACCGGGCCTTGTCCCGCGCATACCTTGGCTTCCTAGCCGAAATGCCCGCGCCGTGCGTTAGGCGATGATGCCAAGACATCAGGGACTACAAATCCTAAACCCTAAACCCTAAACCCAAAGCCCTAAACTCTAAACGTAAACCCTAAACCGTAAACCCTAGACCCGAATCCTACCCGGCTGATAGGGAGATCACCGACAACATGCAAACCCTCACACTCCACAGCCCGTAAAGCCTGCAATAGCCTTACTTGGAGGATCATGGGACTTAGTAATTAGGGTTATAATCAAGGTAACTATAATTATAACCCCAATTAGGGTACTTATAACTTATAACCTCACTTAAGTCCCATGATCCTCCAACTCTGAAGCTAAGATTTCAGGAGATGGAGGCGCTCGAGCCTTCTGCTTCCTCCTTGCTGAGCAAGGCCTGCTGGTTTGGGATTTTGGAGCTTCAGGCTCTTTGGCTTTTTTCGGGCCCCTTTAAAGGATTGTATGGGAGTTGCTAGAAGGGTGTATCCTTAACATCTACATTTTCAAGTACTTGTATGAAGATGCCATAAGGTTTTGGGTGTCGGATTCAGCCATATTTGGGCAAAGTTGACCTTGGGCAACTACCAGATATCGATACCAGCGTTCATAATGATGAGCAAAACCGGTCATTCGATTATGGACAGAAGTATGAGAGGTTAGAATATCTATGAATAATCCGATCTACCAAGCAGAAGAATGGTAGGTTGTGGATGAAGTGTTCTACATGACTTCTACGAAATGGACTTTTGGTTGAACATGCTACAGGGGCCTATTTTAGGAAGTCTATAGGGATCCTCTGCTGCTAAACGCCGTTCCTGTGCCCATAGAGATCCGGTAGTTGGACAGCGCAGTACCATGGCTAGATCAAGAAGGCACCGTCGTGCCGCATGAGCGCTACTCCCTATGAACCGGCGAGTTAGCACAGCATTCCCTGAACGCTAAACCTGCCGAAATAATGGGCTCCTGACTCAGCCCTCCATTTCCTGCCTTTATGTTCCCAATTCCTGTGCCAAGTAGAGTCAACTCCAAGTCAGATACCGATTTCAAGGGCAGCTGTCAGGGGGGATTAGGAGTTTACGGTTTAGGGTGGAGGGTGTAGGGTTCAGGCTGAAAGCTGGATTAGGAGTTTAGGGTGTAGGGTTTAGGGTGCAGCGCAGGGCTCGGGTAAATTTGAGCTTCTGGGTGACCTGGGGGGTTGCCAGCAAAAGTCAAGACCGTGCTAGGGGTTTTGGGAAGACAGGGTTACATGGAAGGACAAAATGGGCTCTGAACCCGTGCCTGCCTGCAAAAGTCAAGGCAGAGAATGACATTCAACAGCCATGTAGAGAAAACATGCGACGCCCGAAGTTTCAGTCATTTTCATAGGCATATCTGCACTGTCTTGACTTTTGCTGGCAGGCGTGGGTAAAGAGCCCATTCCACATAATCCTGGATTCAGAAAACCCTTGCGGTAACTTACCACCGTGTTACCTCTTAGGGTTTAGAGTGAGATTGGTATTTTTAGTATAGAGTTTAGAGACTCGTTTCTAGGGTTTAGAGTTTAAGATGTCGAGGCTTGGGGTATTATACCCCAAGCCCTAAGCCCTAAGCCCTAAACCCTAAACCCTAAACCCCTAAACCCTAAGCCTAAACTTTAAACCCTAAGCCCCTAAACCCAAAGCCCTAAACCCCATACTATGGGGTTTAGGGCTTAAGCTGAAGATCCCGCAACCAGAAGCTTGCCTAAGAGGCAGCCCCGAGTTCTTACTGGGGGCTGCCTTGCTAAAGTACTTAGATTTTGGCTTTAGCTCCCTAACCCCCCAAGTACCTACTATACAGGGCCTTAGGGGCTCTAGTACCCTATATAGTAGGTACCTGGGGGGGTTAGGGTTGCTTACTTTCATTTTCATGGTTTAGCTTAGGGTTTAGGGTTTATAGGGTTCAGGGGTTATGGGTAAAGGACTTTCGTGTCTCTTGGCCGGGAGGTGTAAAGCCTGAAATTCATCTTCTAGGCCATTTTCAGGTGGGTAGTTACCGTTATAGGAGCCTTATAGAAGGTCTATATACCCTATAGAAGCCCTTATAGAAGCCCCATATACCCTAAACTCCCCACCTGTAGTTTCCTTAACCCTAAACCCTAAACCCTAAACCCTAACCCCTAAACCCTAAAGGATCTCCTAAAGGTACCCTAAACTCCCCACATTCATCTGTGTCACACCCGGAAAGTTCAGCTTCTGCAGGCCAAGGCGTCCTTCCTGGCGCAGACGAGGGAAATCAAGGCCTGAGAGTACCATGGTGCGAGGCTATAAGCTCCAAACCCTCAGTAGACGAAGCTTAGGCTTCTAGGTAGTATGATTAGGGGTACCCCTTAAAGGGTACCCCTTCTGAACCCTACTTTTGGCTCTCTTAAAAGGGACCTTGTTGAGAGGGTCTATATCCCCAAGGGTCCCCCTAATCCTAGCTCCCAGCTTCTACCAGCTGATATCGAGAGCTCAGGGATTTCAGGGCACTCGTTGGCCTTCTCTGTGGCTTCACACCCGGGCAATATAGGGCGTAAACGATGGCCAACAGTATTGCGAGGGATCGTTGTTTTTCTTTTACTGTATTATACCCCAAAGAGCCCCATTCTAATTATCAAGGCCCCTAAAGTACCCAAACCCCTAACCCTAAACATTTAAAGCCTAAACTCTACCCCTTAAACCCCTGAGCCCTAAAGGCGAGGCTTTGGCGAGTCGGAATATCGTTGGGCTTCGGGAGTGTGGAGTGTAGAGTCTTATCAGATCTGATATGGTTTAGGTGTGGCCTTCACGGCGGTGACGACTTGTTGTTGTCGTGACAGGGGAACTTCAGCTACACTTGTCATGGGAGTTTCAATTACCCCTATATATAGAGCGCCATGGTAAACTCTAAACACTTTTAAACCCTAAACCTCAATCCTAAACCCTACACACTTAAACTCCTACAGTAACTCCTCTACAATCCTTTGAAGGAGCGCTATAAAGCCCAAATGAGCCTCAAACTCAACCAAGTTCGCCTGCAAGAAGAAACCCGCCATATCCAGCTCCTCAGGCTACGAAGGGGCCGATGATGGAGGCCTCAGGGGCCCTCCGGGGCTGAGTCAAGGGCCGTTTGTCGGGTTCAGGGTTTAGGGCTTTAGGGTTTTAGGGTTTAGGGCTAAAGGGTTTAAGGCTTAGGACTTTGGGGATTGGGGGGTTGGGGTTGATTTTGTTTTCGGGTTTTGGGGGCTTTAGGTTGAGGGTTCAGGGTTCAAGGGCTTCGGGCTTCGGAGTTTTAGGGTCTAGTGGGCCATCCCCTAAGCCTCCAAACCCTAAACCCTACGACGATCCTGAAGCCCTGAACCCTAAATTGCCCTAAACGCCGCCGAGACGCTAAAACCCTGAACCCTAGCCACTGCTAGGCGAAGAAGGAGCTGACGAAGCTCATCGCCAAGGCTCTGGGTTTCCGACTTGGCTTTAGGGTTTAGCGTTTAGGGTTTAGCATTTAGGGTCAGAGAAGCCAGAAAGTTGGAACATCCTTATCCTCTTGCCCTGAAGGAAAAAGCTAGCACTAATCATCCTCAAACCATGTTCCAATTTGGCGGGGCTCATTATGCGGCGTCTAGGGCTTCTCCCCTGAACCTTGGGACTAAGGGCTTTAGGGTTCTCAGAGCCAGCAGGCTACTAGAGGAGATGGGCATCACGGCGGCAACTTTGCTTCAATCTGGGAAGTACTTGGGCAAGGCCTATGGCAATGGCTACGAGGAGTTCCCGGACTATGTCATGGATCTTGAGCCAGGGCCGTAATATTATTCAGGCGGCTTCCCTGCAGATCTTCTAGCGGTACAGTTCTTGCTGTTCTTGACACCGGCTGCAACCAGACTTGTCACGGAGCCCTCTGGATGAAGAACGACATGAAGGCGAGCGGCCTCGACTACGAACCCCTGGCGTCTACTACCTCGGTTTATGATGCATAGGATGTAGGATTTAGGGTTTTTAGGCTTTCTTGACACGAAAACAAAGGCCTGAAGAGGCACCACTGTGATTCCTTGGTCTAATTTGACTGAAGCGGTTACTATAGTGTGTTGGATCCTCAGTCTCAGGGTCCTTGGAGGTTAGGGCTTAGGGTTTAGGGTTTAGGGTTTAGGGTTTAGGGTTTAGGGCTTAAGGTTTCGAGGCTTCGGGTTTAGGGTTAGGGAACCTAGATTACACGGCCCCCATCTTCGGGTGTCCCCCAGAAATGGCTTTTAAGAAGCAGTAATTGATAGTACAGTATCCCCCTGTTTTTGTCCCATAGTACACCAAGACGTATTGAAACTGCTAAGTTGTTCAATATGTGTCCTTATCGTACCCGAGTAGGTTTGCTCGGGTGCCTTCTGGCATGTCGCATAGAATTGAGAGGGCTTACCTTAACCACTCAAAGGCTTAAATTTCCTAAACCCTAAACCCTAAACCCTTTAAATTTGCAGGGACTTATATAAAGAAACCATTCTAGGAAGCCCTAAAAAGGCAGGGTTTTGGGGTGTTATGCCAGGCCCTGGGGCGTTCTGCGGGATTCTCTGTAAAGTTTGGGAAACCCCAGGCCCGAAGCCCGGAGAACAGTCAAGCTCAAGAGTTTTGTCGGGTTTTGGGCGGTTTTGGTTTTTGGCTTTTGCCCTGCCGTTCTCAAGCCCTTATAAATTAAGACCTACATGGGGGGAGTTCTTAGACCCTAAACCCCAAACCCTAAACCCTAAATCGTATACCCTTAGCCCCACACCCCAAACGTACTTGAAGGACCCGTAAGCATATGCCCCAGCTTTACCCCCTCAGCCCCGAAGTCTTTGCTAGAGGGCTAGGGTGTAGGGTGTATGGTGTAGGGCTTAGGTTTAGGCTTTAGGGTTCAGGCTTAGTAATTTAGGGCTTAGGGTTTAGGGTTTAGGATGTTTTTTTGGGTTTAGGGTCCAGATTTAGTAATTTAGGGCTTAGGGTGTAGGGTTTAGGATGGTTTTTAGGGTTTAGGGTTCAGGGTAACATCCCAGAAGCACCGTGTCGCGAGGCGGACATTGCCCTGAGGAAAGTGAAGGCAGCTGCAGAGGCGCAGCGACTGAGCAGAGACCCAAGGGGTTCCCTTCAGGGTTCCTTTTGGGCTTTCTGTTGGGCTTCCGTTTAAGGAGAGTTTCGGGTTCCTTTAAGGGTGTTCGGATGAAGCAACCTTTCGTGGAAGAGGGTCCCAAGTTAGGGTTTCTACTTTGAAATTCCCCCCAAGGTCTGGGAAGTCAGGCACCCCTACTTGAAGGATGAGGGACTTAGTAAGTAGGCTTGTAAAAATCCTTACTTGCGGTTATGAAGAATTACAGCTACAGTTGCTCTACTTTTAATTCCCGTCCCTCATAGTCAGTATAAAAAAAAAGTTTGGTATTATGAATGATATGTCCCCCACCCCCCCTCCCAGTTAATGAGGCCTTTCTATTAAGCGGGTTTCGGTGTTTTTGGCTCTAGGGCGCCAAGGCTGAGGGCTGGCGTGCCGAGGCTTCGGATCGTGATCTTTAAGTTGAGGGCTCCTGCAAAGGGTTCTATTATACGTTAAGGCTTGTTATAATGGGTGACCATGAGCCTAAACCTTAAAACCATGAAGCCCTTTAAACCCCCACCCACAGCCCCCATGGGCCCAAGCCCTCTCGCATCAAGCCCCACCGGGCCTCTTGCCCCTGCTGCGGAGGAACGTAAGATACGTTACCGTGATATGATACTTCGTAAACCTTAGATAGGGACTTGGGTGTCGTAATAATATTACATAACATACATATATATATATATACATAAACGTATACATATACACAAATTAGTACATGTGTTTTGTGTGTGGGCATATGTACATGTTAAGCTGTATGGTCTGCTTCTGGTTACTTCGGTTGAGTTCCTTGGCAGCATGCCAAGAGCCTCCCCAAAGAGCCCAACTACGATTTTATTCAGGACTCTACCTTGAACTGTAGGAGGATTAGGGTTTAGGGTTTAGGGTTTAGGGTTTAGGGGTTTAGGGTTTAGGGTTTAGGGATTTATGGTATCTTCCGTGACGAAGGGATGTTGGGCTCTTCTACTTCCGTGGCTCAGATCTCCTTGCGCAGGCGGTGAAGAAAGCCTGCAAGACCATCTCAGAGGCTTTGGCGCTCAGCTGTTGCCCCGTGCCCTACGCCCCAAGCCCTAAACTCTGAACCCAAAGCCCTAAACCCTAAACCTTAAACCCAAACCCAAAACCCGAGCCAGATATTGAAGTTTTGAAGTTGCTGTTCTAAGGCTGTCTGAATAGAGGTTTGTTTTGCGGCCCTGTTCCGACTCACACCCTTCCCCACAGCGACTCAAGATTCTGTTCTCTACAAGAACCCTAGGCTTTAGGGTTTAGGGTATAGGGTCCAGGGTGAGTAATCGGATGAGTTTGATTGCGAATAGGCCCTTTGTAAGGCTTGTCTGGAGAAAAACCCATGAGCTTTCTAGTCCGCTGCGACGTTTGATCCCCACCTAAACCCCAGACCCGGAACCCAAAACCCGAATCCTAAATAAACCCGAAACTCTAAAACCCTAAACCCTTAACCTAAACCCTAAACCTAAACCCCAAACCCTAAACCCTAATCCCTGACCCGAAACCCTCCAAACTCCTTAAACCCTGAACCCCAACACAGAAAAACACGAACACATCTCCTCAGGAAGACCTGACACCCTGAAGCCACGCATCCCCGTATGAGAGCCTTGAGCCCCATGGAGTCATAACACATAGAGTAGGGGCCTAAATAAACACATAGAGTAGGGGCCTAAATAATTACCTATACTGTTTGGGGGGCTCCTTATTATAATTAAAGTATAGTGGGCCCCAAAAGCCCTATTCTAGTTATTTAAGGCCCCTATGTTAGCCCATAAGCCTCAGAAGCCGCTTCGTTTGCTCCACGAGTCCCTCGTTACAGCAAGTTTGATGCAGCCCATCCTAAAAGAGCCCCTTTCTACCGCCTTATATAAAAAAGAAGAGCCGCCTGCGACGAATATACCTTGCTAGCCCCTCTATGGTTCATGATGCTGTACCCCCCGGACCACTTGTTTGTTCTACTACAAAGCCTGAATCGAAATGTTGAGGCCCCTGTAGGCCCAGACCCATCCGCATCCCTAAATCCTGTTCTGAAAATTGAGGCCAGGCTCCTGTAGTAGCCTCGAAGAATCCGAAGAGCCTGTGGAAAGTTCTGTCGGCTTGGCATTGCGAAGCACTTGCCGATACCTTGGCGTTGTGGGCCGATTTCCCTCCGCTTCATTCCGCTCGACAGCTTGCACGCAGACCTCTCGCAATGGCTGGGCGAAGGGCACAAGTCTGTGTCGCTGATTTTGTCTGGTCCAGGAGGCCGTGGCAAGACCGAATTGGCGTGTAGCCTCATGTGCGCCATTTGCCAAGACAATGGTTTCCACTTCGTGAACAAGCTCCACCGTTTGAGGGACATAGCAAACTTACCCTAAACCCCGTAAGCCCTAAACCCCCTAAGCCCCAACCCTAATCACTAAATCGCAACCTGTAACAAACCTCCGAAGAGCCGTTTGAGGCTGCCGACGCCAAGGCTTCCGCTGCTTTGCGGTCCGAGGCCGGCGTTGCTTTTTTGTTGCTTTCTTTTGGGGCGTTTTGTCCTAGGGTATTCGTGGGGGTTTGGGGATTCAGGGTTAGGTTTTAGGGGGTCAGGGTTTAGGGTTTTGGGGTTTTGGGGTTTAGGTTTGTTGTTTTGGGTTTCTTCTAGGGCTTCTAGGGCTTTGTATGACAGTTGATTAAGGTGCAAAAGGGTTGGATTGTCGAAAAGTGACCTTTAAAGTTCTATATCTGGTCTTTGTCGAAAACTTCGGCTGTATCGCGCCTGTGGTGCGAGAAAGACACAGAAACAAAGAGACAGAGAGGCTGCGTGTGTTTTGTCTCGAAATGTGCAAAAGTTTGAGTTACCGAGCCTTAAAGAGCCTTGCATGTACAGTGCTTGTAATGCTTACCGTAAGTAAGGCTGGGGCTGAATTATTGGTAATTTCCGAACCCTAAACCCTAAACCTCGAAACCCTAAGCCCTAAGACCTCTGAGCCGACGTGCACTGTTATGCCCTAAACCCTAGACCCTTAACCCCTGAGCCGACGTGCACTGTTAGGCGGCCGAGAAGGGAGTCGCAGTGGACGAGCTCTTTGCGCAGCTTGCCGGTGAAGGTGGGCTGCTCGTCGAGGGTTTGTTCGTCCGGCTTTCAGAGCGGGTTTAGAGGGGGGTTTTTGGGGGGTTTAGAGGGCGTCCAGAGAGGGTTCCGATTGCTGTTTGTGCTGGCGGTAGTCCTAAAACCTTAAAACCCTATGAAATTTCTTAATGCCCCTGTGTCAAGCCCTCCTGCAGAATTGGCCGTTCGGCCAAGGGGCCAAGGGGTGGAACGAGAAAGGGGGTCGATTCCATGATCTTACAACCGGTTCTACACGAGGGTCTTTGCAGCGGTGTTAAGGATCCAGCAGATACATTTCTTACGTTCTGCAAACTAGTTTCCGGCCCAGTTACCGAAACCTGTTGCTGAAGTATTGTGGGGCAAAACCTGTCCATCAAAGCCCTCTACACCCCCAAAACCTGTCTATGCCTTGCAAGTTTGGGTTACAGTTTCTGGACGGGCAAGTCTCCCCAACCCCATAAGGCTGCCAGGCCTATGACAAGGACCGCAGGTACTAAACTGCCCAGGTTCCCGGTCGCAGCCTCCAAATGGGAGTTTCCGCAAATATGGGACCTTAAAATAGCACGCTAAATAATAGGATCCTTATTAGAAGTAAGGTACCCCTTGTTTTCGGAAACTCCCAAATCAACGTCGCTGCAGGCAACAGCACGCTGTCTCACGAGGCTTTGTGCAAGTGTTTGGGCCCTCAGTGTTCAGGATCGAGCTGGAGCGGAGTTTAGGCTTTGCTTTGGGGATTGTCAGACTTAATCTGGGCCATTTTAGATCTTCCTGGATTGGGCTGCAAAAGATCTTCTTTACGAATAATGAGTTTTCAATTGCCTTAAATGGTCTTAAAGTTGCCAACCTGGGTGAAACATCGCGCTCCCTGCCCCGAGCGTCCTGGCACATTGGAATTCCGAACAGAGACACCGAACCCCAAACCATAAGCCCACATCTTAGGCTTTGAGCATCCTCTGCAATCCTGGGCAACACTTGGTCTGGAATCATCCTCGGTAGGAGGTCCCACCTTAAAGCATCTTGGGTTCTTAGAAGGCATCGGGTCACAGATGAGCCTCTGCGGAGGTTCAGCTGTGTAGTTCCGTCACTCCATCTCGACTTACAAGGTCCCCTCATCCTGCTATCGCTAAACTACCCTAAACCCCAAACCCAAATCCCAAAGCCCTAAACCCTAAACCCCAAAGCCCTAAACACTGAATCCTAAGCTCTAAACTCTAAGCCCTAAAACCTAATCTCCAAAAACCGTAAACCCTGAACCCTGAAACCTAAACCCCAAAGCCTCAAAACCCAAAACCCTAAACCCATCATACGCCGAGGCCTGCTTGCTATCTCGAGCCTGGAGATCGCAGAGGAGCACGCCAAGCTCGTCTGCCGGAAGATCGAGGCTTTGGTGTGAAGAATGGGGTGCCCAGGGCTTGGGGCTTAGGGCTTAGTTTTCGGGTTTAGGGCTTAGTTTTCGGGTTTAGGGTTTAGGGCTTCGGGTTTAGGTTCTTGGGGTCTAGGGCTTAGGGTTTATAGGGTTTAGGGTTTAGGGCTTTAGGGCTTTGGGTTTAGGGTCTTCGGGTTCAGGGCGTAATTACGGTTTAGGGTTTAGGGGTTTAGGGGTTTAGGGGTTAGGGTTTATAGGGCTTAGGGTTGATACTGGGTGCTTAGGGTTTAGGTTCTTGCAGGAGTGTGGAGCTTGTGGATGCAGGGGGCTCGGGCTTCGGCGTGTATTGTATATTGAAGCTTTGGGGCCGCTACATTCAGAGGAGACAGTCTTTCAGCTATACCGGGTGAATCCCAAGCTCACAGTCAGTAAAGCCAGAGCTCCAGGAATCTCAACCCCTAGACCCTTAACCCGAAAACCCTGCACCCTGAGGGAGTCTTGTCCCAATGCGCCCTAAAACCCTAAGCCCCTGAGAGTGTATGGGGCGTGTCTGGTCCCATCGCATCCCTCGATTGGCAAGTAATAGGAATTTTGCCCGTCTTGAGAGTCTAAGTGATTTATAGAATAGAATCCTGTGCGCAGACTTTGCCCTAAACCCCAAACCCGTAAACCCAAACCCCTACACCCCCATACCCTAACCCCTAGACCCCGAAACCCCTAAGCCCTAAACCCTAAACCCTAAACCCTAAACCCTAAACCCTAGACCCTAAACCCTAAACCCTAAACCCGAAACCCCTAAGCCCTAACGCCTTAGACAGCTGCCAACCCCCCGGGCAGGCGCCAAGCATCAGCAAGCGAAGTTTCCTGGCCTTCGTCCAAAGATACTACGTGGTGACGGCCGCCGATGCCTCAGTTTCAATGATGGTTCCTTTAACGGGATCTTTAGCAAGTATAGTCTCTATTTATGGTTTTTGGTACCCAAGAAGAAGGACCCCAAACCCTATAAGAACGAGTACTTGGAACCCTTTCCTTCACCTCTTGGGATGAGGCTCCCCTGAAACCTTGAACTGAGAGATGTGCCTTTTTGCTCGGTTTCGTCCTGTGCATTACAACTATAGGGTGTGGAGTTTAGGCATGCTTAGGGATTAAGGGGTTTATGAGTTCAGGACCCAGGGCTTAGGGTTTCGGGTAGAGTTGGGACATTATTATAGGGACCTAAAGTTTAGGGTTCAGAAGGTTTTCAACTCTTTCCCTAACTTGACAGGGCTGCAGTTTGTTCGGGTTTAGGTGCTTAGGGTTTCGGGTAGGTCTCCCAGTGGGACCCTTTTCCTTCTTAGCGGTCCTTATAAAGCCGCACACTACGCAAAAGGGAGTGGAGATCCTAGGTTGTATACTTTGAGCCTTCGGGCTGGTTATTCGTCTTACTGCTGCTTTCTGTGTGAGTCATACACTTTAAAGTAGGGTCAATGCTAGTAGCTGCTGGTTGGAATCACCAGGAGAGTTATGATTTAGTCTTGCGGTTTTCCATGTATGTTCTGAACCACTAATGTCCCACGCTGCAAGGCCCCTGAAAACCCGCCCGGTTCAAGCAGCCTCCAGAACACGCTGCACATTGCCAGACAACTACTACGATGACCACCCTCTCATGACGGCGACTACTACTACCAGCTTCACCCGGCCGTCCACACAAGTAAAGGAAACAGTAGCTCGTGCGTGCACACACACACACACACACACACCTCTAGCTCCAAGCACTGAAGCATCCTAAACTGGACAACCACGTCGCTGGGAGGCTGTTGCCATCACTGGGGAGTTTGAGATTACGAAGGCCGGGTTCGGGACAGCTGATGTTGTTTCCTGTTTCGAGCGCGTGGTTATTTAGGTTGCCTGATTTGGGAGCGTTCTAAGCATATCTCATACATCGTATCATAATATCATATATATATATATATAAATATAATTTTCAGTACATAATGTATCACTACATAAGATCATATATGAGAGATCGGAGACCATTGTCATCCAGGGCACCCTCGTCTGGCCCCTTTGAGTATCAATCACTTCTAGGACCCTAGGAGCTGGGGCTTGGTAGACACCCACCTTACATAGCTAAGGGTTTCGGTTTTAGGGTTCAAGTACTAGTATAGTAGATAATTTTGGGGCCTGAATACCTACTAAGTACCACTATAATGGTACTTGGAACCTTTGGGGGTTTTAGGGTTCAGGGATCTTATTTGACATCGTATTCGGGCTCCCCTTAGGCTTAGGAGGCGAGGCGTTGGGCTTTGTCACAGCAGGGAGGACGTATACCGCAGGCTCTGCGGTGTTTAGCGGTTGAGGTTTCACTCCGCCCACCCGGAAACCCTAAACCCAAGATCCCACACCCCCACCCCAGGTTTGAAAACCCCAACCCCAAATCCCTACACCTCCACAGGCAAAGGGACTACAATTTGGGGCTTTAACGTATGTAAACTGAGGAGAACTTATTTTTATTGCAATTTCATATGTTTCCCCAGCTGCCACAAGCCCGGTTCTTGAAAATGCAACCTCACAAACCCAGGGCTTGCGGAACGCAAAGGATGTTCTGTTTTTTTTGGTTTTTTTGATGAGTGGGAGGGGGGTTGTGGTTTAGGGTTGGGGGCTGAGGGTTCAGAGGTCAGTGCACGAAGGGCTTTGCTTCGCGTCGAGTGGTTGTTGCAGTACATGACGCTACCACAGCCTTAGCCCGAAGCCCAGGCTCCGTTTAAAGGGTACTACAGAGTTACTACACGGTTCTAGAATGGGGTCCCATTGAAGGGTCCTATGGGGTTCTAGAATGGGGTCCTCTTTAGGGAGGTGCTTGGGAACTTGGAACTAACCACAGCTTCCAAAGCTCGAAGCTGCGCAGGCGAAGACCATTCGAAAGGCCGTGTCGGGAAGTGCTGGGGCTTTATACAAGAGGCTTTTGCGATAAGTATGACAATACAGTTCCTCTCTGACCCTATCCAAGTACATCATAGTTTACCTCGAAAAACATACCAAGCCGGTCTTCATTGCGTACTTTCCGCAAGATACGTTGAGGATGGTGGTCGCTGGTCTGGGATTTGGCGGGCTTGTCCGAGAAACCTGGGATTGAGGAATGTGGGCGTTTTCCGGGCAGGTTCATCGTTCTTGTAAAGGGTCCAAGATTCCGGTTGATCAAGCCAGGAATAAATGAGTACCTTCAAAACAACAACCTGGATGTTAACAAAGAAGTTGTTTTCTATGTGATGTGGCTTGAAGCTTATGAGACCTACCACCTTTCTTAAGCACCGGAGGAGTCAGACGATCAAAAAGAGGAAGCAGACACAGACGCAGACACAGAGAACGGGCTATCTAAGAGCCGTGACAGTGGCTCGGACAACCTGACGACGCGTCGCCGGCTGCGGTGGCATCCGCTTCCCTGTTGGACAATCTGCTTGAGAAGATGGAGGACTCTCTTAAGCTTGAGAATACCTTCAATCTTGCTCCACAAAATCCAATTGCATGTGTGGAGCAATCTCGAGAAATGCACCCTTGAAGCATGAGTCTGTAGAGCCGTAGGATTAAGTTTTATGGTTCTAGGCTCTGACGCGCGAAGGCCAGCAAGCTAGCCAGACAAGGCGACACTAAAGGTGTTCGGGCACGGCAAATCGCCAGATATCCCAAGATCGTATTTTTGTTGTACTTTTGGGACTCCAGTTGTGCTTGGGCTAGGAACACCATCAACTGGAGTCTTGTTAAGGAGCTTAGTTTAAGTGACCCGAATAGGGATCTATAGTAAACAAAGTGGTCCCCTGATTATGGCAACGACTTAAAGTAAATGCCTTCACAAGAACCCAGTCAAAGTTACTACGCATCCTGAGAGAGCCAGAACCCCGGGGAGCACGATGAAAAATGGAGATTCACTAGGCTTTACAAATAAAGCCCTTTTGGGCCCCACTCTCTTGCAGCCTATAACAAAAACCCAAACCTAACCCCCAATGGCACCTTCAACTACCAGAATATTTAGAATGTTTGGAATGGAAAGGAGCCTTACACGCAGTAGGTCATGATAGGGACAATGATAGGTGACCCACTGTAGACCCCTAAGCCCTGAACCCTAAACCCTTACTTTGCACCCTCTCCATCCCTCCAAGCACCTCTCCCAGAAAGCGCAGGCCGAAATTGACGAGATCTTTGAGATTCTCGAGGCCCTGAGCTTGGTTTGCGGTCTTACTTTAAGGTTGAAACCATGGGCCCCTAGTATGGGCCCTTAACTCTAGGATCCTTAATACAACTACTATATACCCTATATGTACCCTTAAGGGTCCCTAGAAAGGCCTATGGGCCTATATTAGGGGCCCATACTTCGAACCTTAGAGTTACTGGGCTCAGGCTTGAAGAGGGTTGGGGTCTTACTGGGTTTTCCTTCCAAGTCTTTGTATCGTAGATTTGCCCCCCAACTCGGCTATGGATGTCTTGGCTTTTTTAATTGTCGGCCCAAGGGAGTTGGGTTTTCAGCCTGGGCTTTGTGGCTCCTCGCAGTTTGCAGTCATTTGAGTCATTCCGGTCTTGCGATGTGTCTCTAGTTCCGAAGTTGTGCATGCCAACCTGCCAACCTTGCTCAACGAGGTGTGCATGAGTATTCGTATCAGTAGTTGGCATCAAACACGAACTTCCAACTCCTTTGCAGGCTGTCATTTTATAACCAGGATGCACTATGATTCTACCAAGGTTCCCTTTTACCTACTGTTTCTGTATTTTCTTTTAAAATTCCATATTGGGTGTGTACAAAAGAACCTACAAAAAGTAGGTTATGGTATATTCAGGTACAGTATTAACCCTGGAGCCTTTAACCTTTGAGTCCCAGATTAAATCAAAATTGAGCCCAAACTCTTCAACACTCAATGTAACTTTTACGGCCCTACACCCGGATTAAGCCCTAAACTCTGTTTGAGTCCCAAAACCTAAAAACATCGGCCTTGAGCCAGAATTAAACCCCAGACTCTCTTTGAATCCAAAAACCTAAAAACCATCGGACATCTACACGACAGGGGCCACGGTCTGACGAGAAGCTGGGTCTCAACCGAGTTCGCGGCAGGCACAACAGGGGGTTTAGGGTTTAGAGTTTAGGGTCTAGGCTTTAGGGCTTTTAGGGTTTAGGCTTTAGGCTTTAGGCTTTTGGCTCTAGGGCTTTTAGGGTTTAGAGTTCAGGCTTTAGGCTTTAGAGTTGTTAGGGTTGGGGTTTAGAGTTCAGGGTTATTTTCGGGTTTGGGGTCAGGATTCAGGCTCAGGGTGTAGGGCCAGTGAGGGTTTGCCGTTGCAGGGCTTTCTACTTGGAGGATCATGGGACTTAGCAAGTCAGGTTATAAGTAACATAATTGGGGTTATAATTACAGTTACCTTATTTATAATCCTAGTTACTAAGTCCCATGGCCCTCCAAGTAAGGATTCCCTTTGAGGGAACCATGGGAGTTCTATCAGGGTTAGGAATCCGGATGGGTTTTGGGGCTTGGGTCCTTTAAGAGTGATCCAGACGCTCCACTCTGAACTGAAACCAAAAAAGTCTAGCAACAGCCTGTGATAGCATGTCGCACAAATTAGAATCACTCCAACTCGGCAGGAATATAAGTACCCTAATTGGGGTTATAATTATAGCTACCTTTTTTATAACCCTGGTTACTAAGTCCCATGATCCTCCAAGTAGAGGAACCCTTACAAGGAACCCCATGCCGGAGAGCTTTTGAAACAGACTTTCGTCGCAGGTCCCTCGTTGACTCAACGGAGGGATGGCTGAGCATCAAGGGCAACCAGGCAAGGGTTCAGGGCTTGGGGTGTGAGGCTTAGGGTTGTGGGTTGGGGGTAGTGGCAGTGTAAGTATGGTAGCTATACTTATTATTACCCACAGCTCCAAACCCAAACCCTAAACCCTGCTTCTGGGTCTTTCTTGGGTAATGTAGGGGCCTTAATAAATAGAATAGTTTTGTTTTTAGGGTGGATCCTCATTATATGTTTTGTATAATATACCCGCAGACCCTATTCTAATTATTAAGGCCCCTATATTATCCGAATCCTCAAGTTGGCTTTCTGCACCCATATAAGCATATATGATCCCGGTTCTCGGT